GTTGGGTTCCTAAGACTCATCAAGGCCACCCTCCAGACTTATCTATAGTAGAGAAGTAGGAAACACAATGAGAAAGCCCGTTATTCTCTCCAGCCCTTGTCACCTGCAGGAAGACCTTATTCTTGCATCTGAGTTTTAGACCCCAGGACACGGAATCCTGTCTCGAGAGCATCCCAGTCTGTCTTCTTTGCTGACACAACAGAACAAGTGCAATTTGTACAGGATGAGTCACCATCTGTGTTTCATTTGCAAGGATCATGTGTTATTTTAAAAATAATAAGATGATCTATTTACAGCTATGTTCCCTCTCCCCTCAATTTTCTCAGCAGCAAGGACTACAAAAAACAGAGAAAATTATCCCAACAAAATATTTATGAATAAACAGCTTGCAGAGATGATGAGGCTCCCACTATATAAATATTTCTGGCACCGCCCAACCAAACAAAGACAAAGAATTCTTTCTGACAGCATCACTGAATTGTGTGTAATTAGTGCCAATGTTTTAAACATGATGATAATGAGAAAAATATTAGCAGTAGATCAGAAGGGCCTAAAAATATCTGTTTTCCTGAAGCGTGACTACTCTTCTTACCTTCCATTCAAGGCACGGCAAGAAATGCTACCCCTTAGTACTATTTTTCCAAGTTCTGACTTGACACCATCACCTTTACACATTTCGTTTGTGCATCTGTAGAGGTGCAAACCTACACGATAATGTTGGCCATGCACCATTTTGCCCAAGCACACTGTTCTCGCTTGCCTTCCAGGTATGCAGCCCTGTCGCCTGACTTCTGAGCATACAGCATCACCCTAACAATTCTCACTTCTCTTCTTAGACACATTCAAGGATTCCTGATCGCTTAGAGCAAATAAACGTGCACGAGTACAAAAAAAAGTCCTGATGTGACACTTAAGCAAGGGAAGAAAGAAGAAAATTCTCAGTGCTCACACTTGACCCGAAAACTGGAGTTACAAAGTTTCAGAAAATCTTTCATCGGCTGAAAATAGAAAATAAATGGCATTCATGGTTCCAATGTCTTTAATTGCAAGTACAATTGTACCGGCAGGCTCTCACTGTCTTCAGATGATCCTGGAGACAATACACAGCTTAAGGTAAAGGCAAATTCAAAGAAAGGAAGGGCTTGGCTCCAACTCCTTAGGAAGATGAACGATAATTTCACAATGGGAATGTTAAGATAGCTTTTTAAGGGCCTCTTTTGGAAGCTCTTTCCATTTGGTGGGAAAAAAAAACCCTGGCCATTAGCTACTCTGAGCAGTTGCAAATTGTGGCTGTGTTCAGAAACGTTGGCAGATTTCTGCTGATGAATTTCTGTCTCAAGGCCAAGATGATCAACTAAATAAACCATTTATCAAACACTAGAGACCTTTAACTGACTATTTGTAGCACAGCCAGACATAGCTTAGAAATGTAGAGATGCTGGAAATAGGTGGCTAAGTACCACAAAAGAAAAGAATAAAATGGTGTCTCAGATGACAACACTTTCATTAGGAGGATAGTCAGCCCTTGCTTCTTCCCATTTCCCCAGTGCTTAAGCATTGGTGCAGGTCCACCGGCTCACCCCATCTACCAAGGGGACCAGCACACTACTTCTTAGAACCTAGTTCTTGGCATGGGTAGGCACAAAGGAATATGTCCATTTATTAGATGATTACACAAGGGTACGACTAAGTGCTCAGCTTAGATAAAAAGCTGTTTCCATACTCAGGTTAGCATGAGAACCTTGAAGATATCATGCAGTCCCTTGCCTCCTGTTGGGTCTTCCTTGTGAGACTGACTCATGGAAGGAAATGTATCACACCAAAACCAAAATGGACAGTGGTGTCACCTGTGCCTGTGCCAGCCCATGGGTCTCTGGGCCTCCCACTCCCTGCATGTGGAGAGACACATGTGGGGACGTGGTATTGCTCAGGTGACCAGGAGCCATCAAGCTGTGTGTCTGCCCAGGCTCAGTAGCCACTCCCGGGCAGGAATCCCTGCCTTGTCTGCTTTCATGAACTGCCCTCCAGGGCTCACATGTGCCATCACCTGCACGGTGAGAGGATAGTGAAACATACTTAGTGCCCATGGAAACCACAGTGAAGCAAGCAGGGTCCCAACAGCAGCCTTTCCTTGTAAATGAACAAGGCACAGTCCTTAGGAAAGTTTCTACACAATTTGCGCAGGAGTAGGCATTATTTGCTTTAAAAATTTTTTTTTTAAAATATACATTATTTTACTTGAAAGGAAGCGGGGAGGACAGGGATACAGTGAAAGAGATCTCCCCCATCCACTGATTTACTCTCTAAGCACCTGCAATACTCAGGGCTAAACTGATCCAGGCCCCAGCCAGGAGCCAGGAGCCAGGAAGTTGGTCTGGGTCTCTGAGGTAGATGGCAGAGACCCAATCACCTACTGCCTTCCTGGGGCAGTATTTGTGGGAAACTGGAACTGAGAGCCATAGTCTGGAAACTAACCCAGACACCCGATGTGGCATGCTACTGTTCCTATTGTTCTAACTGGTAACCAAGCACCCAGGTAGGGTACATGTCTGCTTCTAGAAGGAAGCTTTTAAAACCATTCTGAAGACAGCATGCCTTTTTTTAGAACTCAAGGGAAAATAATTTTATGATCCCATTGCAGGAGACTGCCACATGCACAAGGGTCCCAGGAAGGGTGCTGGGTCCCCCGAGGCAAAAATGCTGCAAGCCACAGACGACACCATGGCCATTTGGGAGTCCTGCCTGATCCCTCGGCACACATGCCAGGCAGGAGCCAAGGCTCCCGGAACAGGTCCATTCCCCAGACGGCACCTGTGTCACCTGAGTTAGCCCTGAAATCCTGGAAACCCTCATGGAAAAGTGACACTCTTCATTTTCACTGATTTTCCAATTTAGGTTAAATTGCGTTTATCTCTTTTTGGAGTTTGTTTATGTACTGTGACTGGGAAAAGCTTCACAGTTATGCACTTATTGCAACTTAGCAAAAGCCCAGATGAGAAGATCATGAGTAGGAAACCTACTTGCCCCAAGATAAAGTTATAAAAGCAGATCGATAGGTGTATTAGCACTCTAGCTTGCAGAGACTCAGAAAATATTTTCTTTCAGAACAAAGTGAGGCTGTGATGGAGAAATCATAGTAGCTTATCTTTCCTCTGTGAGAAAAACTTGAAAAACGCGTTGGAAAAACGTACTGCTATGCGAGACACTCCTGTGTGTCTTCATGCATGTGTGTACGGGGTGTGTGTGTGCGATAAAGGTGTGTGTATGGGGTGTGTGTGGGTGCGGGCATATGTGTGGGTGTGAATGGAGGTTATACTGAGAAGTCTCATGACTTGCTCAGAGATGAAGGCAATGGGGCAGTCACAGGGGGGCGAAAAAAGAAGACAAAAGGCCCAATATTTTTCCTATTTCCCTGTTTTCTTAATTAGAAACACCTGTATTTTCTAAATGACAAGCACAGTTCCAACTCAAACTTCTTTTTCTTTATCTCAGTAACTTCCATCTCCATCTACTGTCTCATGTCATTCAAGCGTAAAATCTGCTCTTGGGTTTCTTCTTTTATGCCGACCAAACATATAAGTGGGTTTCTCTGGAGTCTTCAACCCATGTGAGGCAGTGGGGACACATACGTGTACAAGACTAGTCTCTATTCTCAGGCAACTGACAGCTTCAGGCAGCAAGATCAAGAGAATTTTCTAGAATGATGGCAGTGTTGTATATCTGCACAGCTCCAGACAGCAGCTGTTGGTCACGTGACTGCTGAGCACCTGAATGCGACCAGTATGCTAATGCCTACAACAAGCCCAATTAATGCAAATCACAGTTTAAATAACCATATGGAACAAGTGGCTGCTGGACGGGACAGGACAGCCTGGCAGAGGGTGGACAGCCTTAGCGCAGGATCTTCTCCAGGGCACACATGAACACATCAGCGCATGTGGCAAATGCCATCCAACAGCTCAAGGTAAGTGGAGTCAGAGATTGGGGACAAACAGGATGGTGGGTGGCTCGGGGCGTGAGGCTCAGGCAGCTTCTTGTGGGTGGTTGGTCTGACCCAGAATCTCATCAGAAGACACGGCAGAGAACAGCAGAGGAAGGAGAGGGGACAGCCTAGCCCTCTTAACACAGAGGGAAAACGCACAGGAAGTGTTGGGAAGCACAATGCCTCCCGTGCAGCAGAAGGTCATGGGCAAGTCCAAGGTGCCCGAAGCCAGGAACAGGGACTTTGAGAATGGGTTGCAGGGATTATGGGTGGACAAGTGTCTGCAGCCAGTTCAGGCGGTGCTGTGCGAAAGGCCCAGGAGTCTTCCGCCTGAGGAAGCTGATGGTAGATTACGAGCTGGACCCAAAACAGGAAAGGATGCCAGAGAGGGACAGCCAGGCAGAAGCCAGACGAGGAGGGCATGCGCTCCACCCAAGGGGGCCAGCAACCACCCAGCTTCAGCTGACTGCCCCATTTCCCGCACCTGGTTACACACATATGGAAACTGGGCACACAGTTGGCAGAATCTCTGATTTTGCAGAAAATCCACAAATGATACTATTTTTCTCTTAACAAACATGAAAGCTAAATATTTTGATTAGCAACTAACTGTGCTGTACTGATTACATTGGGTTGATACCCATGTCTTGGCATACAGGTTTGGTGCACCTGTCGCTGCCACGTGGCCTGTTCTATGAAGGCAGGTGCTAGTCCACAGAGTTGGTCCAAAGCAAGAGCTGGCCTGTGGACTGATTAAGTCTGGGGTAGCTGTTGTATGACACGTGACCTGGAAGATGAGTCTGAGCTCACAGACAGCCCTAGGCAAGTGGGAAGGGGGAAAGGGGCTGCGGTGGGAGGGCTCGTGGCACAGCCCCTTGCCCAGGGATTCCCACACCCAGCGGGGTGAACACGTCTTCTCCACCTTTCCAACATAAACGTCCTTGGCTCCCACACTGTCCTTTGCGTGAAAGCCTCGCTCTATCACCCTGAGAAGGAACACGCGTTCCTCGCAGCTTACCTCTCGGTCCAGCAGTGCAGGCGACACCACGGTGACGATGTCTCCCTTCTCCGGGTCGATGTAGAACATGTTGGGGGATGGCTTGTCAGGCGTCTGCTGGCGGATGTGGTATCGCAGTAGGGCATTGTCGGTGGCAGGGTCGTCCGCGTCAAAGGCTGTCATTCGCATCACTGTGGTCCCTATGGGGGCAAAAGGAGGGTGGGAGACCGTTACCGAGGGGTCACTCACAACCAGGACCCATCCCCTCTGGCAGTGGCCCTGGTGTCTGTTGCCAATCACTTCCCAAAGTCAGCAAAGCGAGCCCTGCCCTAGTGAGCTGTGCTGTTTCAGCGTTTCTGCCGCCTTCCCTCCCGCTCCATCACACGAAATGCCAGGAAGCCTCTGCTGCTCGGCACGCTGACAGCTTCATTTTCCCTCTGCTGCTGGGCTGTGCATCCACCAGTGCTCTGCCCCTGGGAGCCACGGTCCAGGGTGACGCTGGCCTTCAGGGTTCACGCTCTGATGCAGCGGGCCTGGGGAAATGCACATGCAAAAAGGGACCTGCCGTGGTGCTCAGGCACGAAGGGCATGCAGGGCACTGAGAGGACACTGCACCCCCCATGGTGCTGTCTCGCCTGGCCTGGGTCTGGGAAGGGTTCTAGGTGTGGACAGGGAAGAGGTGAGGAGTGCTGAGCAGGGTCAAGAGGGGGCCTGACGGAAGGAGGTCCTCGGGTGGAAGGAAGGGGTAGGAATGCCAGCTGAGCACCTCGCAGGAGGCAGCCACACTTCAGGTATGGACAGGCCAGCACTGCCGGGCTCTCTCAAAGTAGCAAGCACACGTACAGCACCTAATTCAGTAACTGGCCTGGGGGCTCCGGGCTCAGGCCAAGGGCAGACATCGCTGTCCGATGACAGGTCCTGCTCACACACAGTCCACACGAAAGGAAACCAGGACAGCCATTTGAGAGGACAATCAGACATCCACCGTTGAGAAACACTCGTATCCATGTACCAGGGGTTTGTGCAAGGAAGTTCTGGGCAGGATTATCAGCCATTATGGAAATTCTGGAAGCAACTTAACTGTCCAAAAACATCATGCTATCCCCACCCTTGCCAAAGTGTAAATAGAAAAGGTTTCATGTGTTCGTACAGTGAACATTCTATGTGCAAAATGTCAGGATCAGGTGGAATGACAGCATTCCCAGAATACTGCTTTTATAAACCTGCTTACACATGGAAAATTACAGTCTCTTATGCATGTATGCTACAGGTAAATGCGCAGAGGAAGGTGTCCAAGGACCGGTCAATGTGGATAACTCCGGGAAGGAATGCGGGATTACACTAAGGATGGCCATCAGGGACAATGACAGCCTGATCTGTAATAGCTTAACTTCCTCAGGACAATGTACAGCTTTTGTCACTAAAGCATAATTTAGAAATAACATAATAACAAGTACAGGGTGGCTGCTGTGATGTAGCGTCTTAGCCTCCCGCTTGGGATTCCCGCAGCTCAGCCTCTGGGTGTGCAGGTGTTTGAGTCTCACCTCCACCTGTGACCCAGCTTCCTGCGAATGCACTGGGAGGCATCAGATGACGGCACAGACACCTGGGTTTCTGTCACCCACATGGCAGACCCAGAAAGCAATCCTGCCTCCTAGCTATTGTTTGCTTTTGAGGGGTGAGCCACTGCATGGAAGATTCTTGTTTTAGCTAAACAAGGGGAACTTTTAAAAATACTAAGTACTGATGGGAGTACGGTCTAGAACTCAAGCAGGCAAATTCGCCTGCTGGTTTTGATAATCATATGGACACCATCTGTGACTCAAGGTGACCTGCTCAGCCACACTTTTTCAATTGTTACAGTGACCTAAGAGGTAACGGAGGAAGGCAGCAGATTGCCAGTAGGAGAGTTTACACACAGAAAATAGTGACTCTAAGATGAAACTGAGAATTCGCCAAGCTCCTCCCGCCCCCCGCCTCCCGCCCCCACCCCCAGACTCCTTTCCCTCACACACTAGCGCTGCTGCAGTCATCAAGGACAGCTTCTTTTTTTCCCACAATTGGAATCCAATGATCAGTCACTAGGCCTCATTGATCTGGTAAACAAGCCTGGATCAGCGTGTTAAGCAGCCTCAGTTAACTTCATCCATGTTTCCAATCAGCCAGATGCTTCAAGAGGCGTTTTCTATCTGCCTTGCTTCTTTGTCCTTGAAATGATTACAGCGTAAGCTCCAAGACCAACGCAAGAGCAGAGCAGCCAGGGCCCACCCATCCCCCTCACCCTCCCTCATGCCGTGGGATAAAAACGGGACAACGTGCTCCTGCTGCCCATCAGTCCTACTTTCTCTTTTTTAAGATTTCATTTTTACTGGAAAGTCGGATACACAGAGAGGAGGAGGGATAGAGAGGGAGATCTTCTGTCTGTTGATTCCCTCCCCAGGTGGTCAAAACGGCCAGAGCTGAGCTGATCCGAAGCCAGGAGCCAGGAGCTTCATCTGGGTCTCCTCTCCCATGTGGGTGCAGGGTCCCAAGACTGTGGGCCATCCTTGACTGCCTTCCCAGTCCAGGGAGCTGGATGGGAAGTGGGGCCACTGCATTAGAATTGGTGCCCACATGGGATCCTGGCACATGCAAGGCAAGGAGGTTAGCTGCGAGGCTATTGTGCTACTTTGGAATCAGGGTGCCTGGCAGCCAGTCCCAGCACACTGGAATGGATGTGAAATGTGACACGTTTGCCCTCCTAACCGGGTAGAACATTCCCACTTGAAGATCTCTGTCAGAAATGAAGTCAGACTCGGGCCTGTGAGCTCACCCAGCCCTGTGCTGCACGAGCTCCCTGCAGCCAAAGGCACAGCAGGAGGTCCAGGCCCCATCAATCCCACACCTACCGGTCTCAGGTTAAGTACACTCAACCCAGGGCTTTGCACTCAGTTAGTGTCTAATGAATGCTTGATTGATTGAATCGGTGCCCTACTTAATCTGCCTTTAATTGAAGTCATAAGGAACAGGAACAAGTACAGAAATGAAGTCATCATGACTTGCAACTGACATATGCATTAAAATGATTATGCTGGGAGAAAAAAAAAGACCTCTCAGGTTGATGAGTCTTTGGTTTCTACCAAGAAATTTACTGAGAATGTCTTTATTATTTTTTACAGGTTTGATGAAATAATATAATAAAAGGCTATCCTGGAATATTCCCAAGGTTGCAAAGAAAATGCTGCTTCTTTTAATGAATTGTTCAGGAACAAGTGAACTTGGTCTCAAGCCTTGCCTTTGTCTTAACCCAGACATGAATTCATAATGGGATCCACTCTGGAGTCAATTCTGCCTCCAAGGTATCCTGTAAATGGGTTGGAATTATTGAAGAAAGCATGTGGGGGACTGAAAGCTTGGAGTTCCACTGGTTAAAAACTTGTGTGATCTCGGGCAAGCTACTCGAGCCTCGCTTTCCCCTTCTGCACCGTGAGAACGCTAGTGGCACCTTCCCCTTTGGTCGGTGTGAGGGCTGAATGCGCATCTCAAGACCCGGTACAGCGCCAGGCCTGGGCACGTGAGTGTTCAGAGAAGGGGGTGCTGTTACTAAACGCTGCCCTGGGTTCTGAGCCTGTCACACTGATGCGGGCAACAGTCTCAGATAGAGGGGGCTTAGAATGAAGTCGTCCATGGTACTCGCAATCTGACACCACGGCCTCCGAGTGCCCTGCCTCCCCTTCCCGTCCGCCTTGCCAGGGTGTGCAGAGTGGAGTTGTTACCATGAGAACGTTTATGCTGGCATCTGCTCGTGCACGCACTCGGGCACGCACCCTGTGGTCTATGCTGCTTCTCCGTAGCATGCCCAGGCTTCCTTTACGATCCAGGCTCTGTCATGAAGCCCAGCTCGTTTGCCAAGCCAAGCACCCTGCTTAGGTCTTGCCAGTCCTTTCCCAGGGGCTGAGATCTGCTTTTCCATCACTTTTAAAAAGACTGGGTAGCTCTCCTAAGCCAGCACTTCCTGCACTGGATCACAGGAACTCGGACCGTGGGTCAGCAGAGGAGCACATGCGACGACGCTGGCTTCCCTATCCTGCCCTCCTCCACTCTGTGCTGCTGTGCCCCAGTCACTGAGGATGTACGCCAGGAGGGGAAGCAAGGCTTCTTGAGTTTGTGGTTCTGAAGAGTCAGAGCATGGTGCTGGCATTGCCTTGGCACTGGTTAAGCCCCTTGGCTGTGTCACAGTGAAAAACGGGAGAGGACAGGCCTAGTGCAGAAGGGGCCGAGTGTCTGGGGTGGGCTCACTTAAGAGCAACCTGATCTCAGGAGGGCACACTTACTCTGCCAGGCCTGTGCCAATCCCATCAGAGGCCAGCAGCTCCCAGATGGTTTCCTGGGCAAGGATCACCTCTGGGACTGACTCCAGCCAGATCCACAGCACACACCCTTGGAATTCTTCCTAGTGCCCTTACTAAGTAAATGCACAAGTCAGTCCCCCAAAGAGCACCTTGCCCGCATTGCCCAGCTCTGGACATCCTCGGGACCTTCTCCCTTGGAGGCCCGTGGTCCTCGGGAAGCACGGATGGTGCCCTGGCTTTCTTCCTAAGCTCGGTATCTGACACATAGCATTTACTCTCCTTCTGTTCTTGAAGTTGAATTGTGTTCTTGTGACTCATAGAGGCTCTGCCTCATTCCACGCTGACCATGGGCCGTTAATACCTGGTCTGCAGGGGAGACAGGACCCTGGCCAAGATGAGTGGGTGCTCTGGATGCTTCATCACCACCCCTGAGCTCTTTGGAGCGCCCTGAAGGTCCGTGCTGGGATTGGAGTCAGAGAATCTGTACCAAGTGCAAGCTCTGTGCTGACAGTCCGCGGGAAGGCGCCCCTGCAGCTGTCCCCACCACTCACGGGTGCTGCCAGGATCTTGTTCTTCGCCAAAGTCCACAGCTTGGATCCTGAGAAACACTGGCTAATTTCTGCTGGCCAGGACGGCTGCCCATCTGTGCTGCTCTTATTGCATGCTCTTGGTGGCAGGGAAAGGATAATTACATGACAGACACACGTTGGGTTGTCCACACGATCCATTTCTGTCTTCTCCCCGTCACAATATCCCGAGTGTCAAAATAAAGGATCATCACCCTGTCGCTCCCAGAGCCGATGGACTAGCGGCGGCCCGTCCAAGGCGGAATGAGAGAATTACAGGTTGTTTGTTGCAAGTCTCACGCT